ACAAAAAAAAAAAAAAAAAAAAAAAAAAAAGCCTGTCCCCACCCCCCCCAACTCCCACCACCTGGAGGGAACAGGAATTTCTGGTGCCCAGACGGGTGGGCTTGTGAGATGACCTTCCCTCTGGCAAAGGAGGGTGAGCGTGTGAGTTAAAAGATCCCAACACCAGTCCAGTCCCCATCCCCTCCTGCACGCCTTCCTGGGCCTGCTTCCTGTCGCTGATCTGGGGTAGGGGATTTGACCAGGAAGTCCCAGCAGGGTGAGAGAGAGAGGGCTTCCTGTCTCCCAGCTTCACATGCTTCCCCTGCCAGGCACCACCGGCTCCAGGATCCTCGAAGCCTTCTCCTCATCACAGAACCCAAGAGATCGGTGAGGCTGGGTGGCAGGCGGGGTTGGGGTCTGACAGGAGCTGCAGGCCCTGGGGACCGGGACTTGGCTCCGGTCCTGAATGCCAAGGCCACCAGGTGGAGGGTGGTGCCATCGCCAAGGTAGCCAAGGGAGAGGGAGGTGGGGTGGGGGCCCAACCTGTCCCTTCTGGGGGCCCACCGTATCCCTTCTGTCCTCGGGCTGTGGAGCTGACAGCATTAACTGAGCATAACTCAGGTATGGGTCCCCCTCCCCTTGGGCCCAACACCTCTCACCTGGCCCCAGTTGTCAGAAGCATCCACACCAACCTCCCCCAGCCAAGGGACTGGTGCGGCCCCCCCACCCCCTACCGCGCACTGGCCTGAAAGTCCCCCTAGGCCCCACTCAGGGAGAGGACTGAGGTCTAGGAGCCATGGGGAACCCCCTGCCTGCCAGCCTCTTCAGCCTGAGTCCCACACTCACCACCCAATCCTGGGAGTCAAACCTAGGGCCTATACACTGAGCTGAATCCCCAACCCTTTTTTACTTTTTATTTAGGGACGGGGTCTCCTTACATTGCAGAGCTGTCCAGGCTGGGCTTGAATTTGGGATCCTCCCGCCTCAGCCTCCCACACAGCTAGGATACAGGGCTCACCACCACACCAGGTTTGAGTTCCCACAATCTCAAACCAGCACTGCCCAGCCTCACACTCTGGCGTTTCCACCGGGACCCAGAGGCCTGGATGAGGAGCTCTCCGCAGTGACCTGGGAAGCATGCTGCCCGCCCCAAAGCAGGAGCCAGGCCCACCTGCACAGATGGGGAAACTGAGGCCCGGCTCCAGTTCATAGGTGTGAGTAGGCCCAGGCAGACTCAGGTCAGGCCCAGGTTCCTCTACTGGCGGGCGCCCCCTGCAGGCCGATCGGGTGAACCGAGGGGCCGAGGCTCCACCCCACC